TGCAACTCGTAGCAGTCTGCCGAAACTTAGCCAGAAATAATGCCATGAAACTTGAACTGTCGAAAACGGCCAGAACTTTCCTTACAACCTAATATTATAGATGGGCTTTTCTATCACGAGTGCCTTTCGAAAAAAAGCCAAATCAGTAATGAAAGTAGTAGTATTACCACTATAAAAACATTGACTATCACTACGACATGTACTGGTATCATCAAATAGGTGTTAGAAAGAGTGCCACTCAGATCGTGTAGAAAAGCCTCGAAGCAGTGAGCTTATTTCAAAGCCGCCAAACCTTTTCAGCTACAATGTCACTTTGTCGTCGAACTTCTTCGGCAGAGACGTTGGCCAGACGAGCTGCAATGCTTTTTCGAAGCTCTTTCTTTTGGATAGAGATCGAATCCGTTTGCCACTGCTTGGTTGTGGTCGTCATCTAAAAACACACTAGCGATCTTCAAATGAGATTTAGTAAGTCACGCTGCAATACCAGAAGAAAAGTGATTTCCAGAATTGCATACGGTGGTCCAAAATGAGTCCAAGAGACGGGTTACGGAGGAAGAAAATGAGTGCGGAATGTTGATTTTCTAGCCCTCAGTCTGCTATGTCAAAAAATGGTTTCATGTCAATCACTCCTAGTTCACAATTTTGAGACAGGTAAGTCTCGAATTCCCCAACCTTCTTAAGGGCATGGGTCACGATCGAACTAATGTGTTACGTTGAACAGAAATGAAACAAGAGGTGCATGGAGGATTACAGGTGAGGTAAAAAGTAAAAGGAATCACCCTAGACACTAAATCAGGCTCCTCCCGAAGTAAGCAAACCAGCCCTTTTGGCGTTTCTGCTGGGGCCGTATGCTGAATGTTGGGGAGGGGATGGGTCCCCGACGGTCGACGGACTACTTCAACTCGGTCCTTAAAACCGCCTCAATTTGATGCTTACCTCAGGACTAAGCCTTAAAGAGAGGACGGACCTGCGCTCTCTCGCAGGTCCGTCCTCTCTTCCAAGGCTTAGTCCTGAGGTAAGCATCAAATTGAGGCGGTTTTAAGGACCGAGTTGAAGTAGTCCGTCGACGCGTCGGGAATTTCCCCTCCATCCATTCAGCACACGGCCTTGCCCAACATTCGCATCGATCCAGCGAAACGCAAAAAGGCTGGATGTGCGCTTCACTCGCTCCTCCCTCCTGTGAAGTCCGACCTGTGATATGACGGAAGCAACCGACGAGGAGATCAAAGCCCGAACAGCCCGGTTTGTTGGCTGAGAAGGTTACTTGGACACTTGTTGTGTTCTGGCCTGCGAATATGACAGGAATGGCAGCAATTGGGGCTGGATCTTATTGAGATGGCTATCGCTCTCTGTCATGCACTTTTCTTACGGTCGGCGACAGTGTGCGACGACTGCAGCGGGCTAGCTTCTGAGAGCTCTGCAACATGTTTCGTCCCATCCACGGAGACAATCGAGGCACTCAGTTATTCTTATGGACGACGATTGTGCTCGAAGACACAAAAATTTTCACAAAATAATGACGCTTTGGCATAAAGAACACAAGATCGAGGTTGCTGTGTTCCAATTTGCATTTTCATAATCTGTGCGTTGCGGTAGCGATAAAACGCAAAGATATCCTCCGATCAGACGAAAACATGTACAGGCCTCGGACAGACAAAGCCCTTACGGGGGTGCTTTTAATATCACAAAGGTAAGGCTGCCTCAAAATCGTACTGTTTTGGCCGCTATGATTATTAGGATATAAAATACCACAAAGTTGCGCTCCGCGCTCATGCGCAAAATCAATGAATATTTTGAACTATACACATATGTAGGATGGTACGAAGTAGTTCAATTGACCAAATATGACTTACTACCTTCAACGTTTGAAATCCAAAACGTTTCAGTGCCAGCATACGCTGCTGCTCACAACAGCTTTGACTTTCTGACTGCTCTAAAAATTCCATGATCTAGACACTATAACAAGAAATCAAAAGCAAAATGCACGATCAATCGATACATTGCTCTGCAATATGCCATAAAAATTAGCTTTTCCTGAGGCGAATTTCGAATTAGAACGTTACACGCTAAAATTGATGCACTTGCGGGCGTCTTTTATCTTACAAAAAGAATTATTTACTGCACTATGTTGAAGGCAGGTGAGATACTGAAAGAAATCTAAGAAGAAAGCACCGTCTTCTTTTAAGTGGACTATGCCTCCTATAAGAGGAGCGAGTTCTCACTAATCAATGGCTTCAGCTTCCACGCGGTAAGGCTGTGTTCTATGGCCGGTCATCGACGTAACTGGCTGAAAGGTCACTCGTGTGTTGCAATCCGTTCGAGCTGTTCAGACCCCACTTTATTGGATTGCAACATGCCTCCAAGCCAATCGACGTGACTTTAGCTGGCCATTTCACCAAGACTATGTCCTTGACCTCTCTTACCCCCATCTTCGTAAATCAACGTGAAGCTAATAATCCTACTTAAGTTTAGCGCACTCCATAGTTTTTCTTCACTGCTGCAATCTCTTAGGCAGCTCTGATTTATCCCAAGAAGGCATTGGATCTCCCATTGTGAACGTTGTGAGTTGAACTCCAGAACTTATTGATAGTCTGTCCTAAACGCTGATTACAATATGAGCAACATCAAACTGCAAAATTGAACTCTTCTGATCGAAGTTTGGGCAGTCAATTGGCTATAGATAAATGTTTGCATTCTTGGCCTCTAACCTCGAGGCTTTCAAGAGTCGTCTCGTCGAGTTGTGGGCCCGGTCGTTCACTCCTAGGAGTCACGTTTCTTCCCCCGTCAAATATGTTTTTTGTGCTGATTCGATGAGCACTACCTCACTCTCACGGCGAACGCAATTTCTATATTTGTAATCATCGTTTTGTAAGTCTATTCGACACTTTTTCTGGGTCTTCACTTAAAAGTTCGACGTGGGCCCTGAATGGCCAGTCCATGTCAGTGGTGGCGACATATGCTGGATCACTCTTGCCATCATTTACCATCGGTTATATCAGAGTAAGTTTTATTAATCCGACACTAGCGTTCATTATAGACGTCGTTTCTGGTATTTGATTCTTTTTTGAGCTTAATGCTCTCAACTTCTTTCGCAATAGATGCTCCATTAGACGCCATGCAGAATGCTCACAGCATACTAAAATTTCGTCCCTTGCACAGAAAACGGAAAAGATTTAAACATAATCGCAAATTAAACTGCCAGTCTTTCTGTACATCTAAAATCTCATTTGTCTTACAACCTTCGTTAGACTTATTTATGTTATAAATTTCACATCTAACATATTCTGGCATGGTTTAACTGATTAAATAGCTGCAATAGAAACGGCATTTCAACATTTTTTCGCCTCGCAATCGCAAACAAGCAAGAAGCTATGGGTCGAATTTGAGGATAGCTAAAAAATTTTCGTGTCTTCTTTTTTTTTTTTCCTTTCATTAACGGAATTTCAATTATTAATTATTTTTTTTTTTTTTTTTTTTTTTTTTTTTTTTTTTTTTTTTTTTTTTTTTTTTTTTTTTTTTTTTTTTTTTTTTTTTTTTTTTTTTTTTTTTTTTTTTTTTTTTTTTTTTTTTTTTTTTTTTTTTTTTTTTTTTTTTTTTTTTTTTTTTTTTTTTTTTTTTTTTTTTTTTTTTTTTTTTTTTTTTTTCTTTTTTTTTTTTTTTTTTTTTTTTTTTTTTTTTTTTTTTTTTTTTTTTTTTTTTTTTTTTTTCTTTTTTTTTTTTTTTTTTTTTTTTTTTTTTTTTTTTTTTTTTTTTTTTTTTTTTTTTTTTTTTTTTTTTCTTTCCATAACAACTCCAATCGGCCACACCGAAAAGGTAAGCACAGATACTCGCAAAACCGGAATTCTCCACGATAAGTTGGCTGAAAGTCAACTCTGACAGAACGAAAACGATCGATACCTTATCAGCCACGCTATTTCAACGAAAACCACACGACATAGTTATAGACGATTTATTTATGAAGCGAGAAGGTGATAAAAGCACTAATTATGCAATATACATTTTTAATAGATATCATGAGGGGGTGATACAAGCGCTTATTAAATCAAGCTATAATGACGCAATCCGCGTTATGAACAAAAGCGGTAAATTGCACATATCTGACTACCTTACAACAATATCTCGTCATGGCGGGCCGCCTGGAAGTCGGTTGCCAACAAAGTCGGCGTTACGGTCAGCGTCACTTCTTTGACCGAATCATGTCTTGGCTTCACATACTACGCGAAGGACGAACCATTTCATTTCTGACTGAACAGCATTTGCAAGCAAAGTTGCGATGGTTGAAGAGATGGTTCCCAGCTGAACGCTTGGTAGATGAAGCAAATGAACTGATCCTAAAACCACTCTTCCCTAACCGCAACAGAGGCGTCCTAACCCACTTCTGGCTCGCTAAAGGAAAAAGTGCTCGAATTAGCTCTCGAGGTCTCGACGATGACATGTCCAATTGCCCGCCTCTTTAGCGCATCGTGACAAATCTTCAACTGCAGACAATTCGAACGCGCAGCGCGACAGTATCACAATTTCTATGAAGGATTCACAACATTGCAGTAACTGTTAAATCTCAGTATCACACCCGAGCTTTGCATTATAAAAGTAAACAGGCGAATATCAAGTAAAGTAAACAAATAGTTAACCAATAAATTTATCATTCAAAGCAGGATCAAAATCGTGCCATCGAAAAAACGCGATAGCTGAAATTCATGGAATGAGCACTATATTAATTAAAAATAATTAAGAACCGCCGTTGCAGGCAACCGTATTGACTTCAACCTAGGATAAGCCACTTTTCGCTACATATTTAGAGTAACAGCATCGTTTGGAAGTGTACTTGAAGCGCAGAGTTAACACAGTATTGAACTGTGCTGGACGGTTCCTTTCATTCGCCTCCAAAGTACAGCTACGTTCCCTAATTTTGGATAGGTTGCATGAGGCGCCTATGTTCAACTACTAAGGCAAACCTGGCCAAATAACGATGCATTCAAAGTGTCGCGTATTGCAAGAAATCATATCGAAAGGATACACGCTTTTCCGCTGAGACCAGCCTCGTCCATCAGAAACCAATCGGCGCGATGCTTCACCCACGAAAAGTCGTCGGGTAAAGGGGGCACTTCAACAGATGACTGTGGATTTGGTACGTCCAACAGTCTAAGGCGTAGCTCGATATTCAGCAGACGATCGGCCGTGGTCATCGCATCACGGCTAAATAACAGGGCTTATTACAAAAGAGTACTATTTCATTGAATTGTAATTACTTTCTTCACTCTATGAACAAACCACCTCCGATGGATACAAAACGTTCCAACTCAGGGTCATTGCGAGAACAGAAGTTCTACTTCACAAGTTACAACTTTTGAACCAAAAATGCCATTCTAATATGGATCACATTAGTTACTAATCGTCCGATATGAATCTATTGAGTAGAATTCGGAGGTTTGGAAGGAAAACTGGACTCTCCAAATACTGTGCATTCAGAGCATGTCGAGGAAGAGTGACCAGGTTTGATTACATTGTACCACTTTCAAAAGATACATGTGTTTCCCCGTCCCTCTCTTCATCGCTGCGTGAACTAATTTCGGATGCTTCCAGATGAACTCATTGGGAAAAAAAGCTTAACACGTTGACGACAGCGCAGGACCACATACGTCCCGCACTTTGCAGACCACAACGGACAACGCGGGACGTATGTGTCCTGCACCCAATGCATTTCATTTTTTTCTCGCACACGTGATCATTTTTAGGCTTCTTGTATTCATTCCATAGAGAAAACCTTAACATAGATAGAAACATAGTCGTCTTAAAGCCACGAGTCAGGCTCAGTGGACCAAACCAATCACTTTAGTCGTCTATGTGCATGGCTACGCACCCACAGGGACGTTGCCATGCTCAGAATCTCAAAAGGCGCCGTAATAACGCCCCAGGGCATGCATTAAGCGCTCGCGCCGCCTGGAGGCGCTCCGGCCGCCCACCATGGGATGTGGTGCGTGGCTGGCCTAACGTGTGAGATCAGCTAGTTGATTGCCGTATCAACCGATGGAACGGCTGGCATATCCAGAAAACTCGTTTGGACGTGACTCTCCCCCGAGCAAGCCTCCTTCACTGCTAGAAGGAATGGGTTTCTATTTAGGTGTTGTCGACAGTTTTTTTCGTTTTTTCTTCACTATCGTTCCACCTCCCATCTCTAAACTCAATATCAGGTGCCATAATGCCGAAACACGAGCCTGACTTTTGCCTTTAAGCACGTGTGCTTCAATTAGGGAGGTTTTCTGAACCGAACGAAATCGTCAACCCAGTTGATTTTTTGTTTACATTTTCTTTTCATGAATGTGAATATTTAAAGGGTAGTGTAAGTCAATACGGAACCTCAAGTATGACAAGATATGTGTTTGGATTGCAATAATCGGTGCAAAATTGCTTTTGACGTTCATTGCAGCTGATTCTGACAAATTTTGCTTTTTCACTATATTTCATCCGACTTTCAACCAAATTTTCACTACTATATCTCTGGGGCGCTTCTACGCACTGAAAGAGACTAATCTAACTTTGTATCAATCATGTTTTATTCATTTACCATGCAAAATTCGCCTGATGGACCTGAGGCGGCGGCGCTCGCAAAATCGCGCCGGTCCCACGCGTCAAAGAAGCCTAAACGCGCGTTGCCACGTGTTAAACGCCCAATATATAAAGGATCTAGAGCAACAAATTCTGCTCTATAAACTCAAATAAAATCTGAAGAAAAGGAGTGCACATATCGTCTATGACTCGTCAACACGCTACTTTTCGTCTAAGGCCCATAAGCTTTCAATATCGAGATGTTATGTGCTAAGGTCAACTGAGTCATCATTTACGCACACCACCTCACCACCAGGTCAACCGTTCGTTGCGCAATACTCAAAAATTTCACAACCTTTTAGAAGATCTAAACGACCAGGCCACGCCCACCACCATCAGCACTAGGGATAGGACCTTTGAAACGACCACCCCACCCCACCACCACCAGCCCTAGGGGAGTCCCCTGATAGTATCCTCTCACCATCACCGTCACCATCATGGCTGCTTCTTTAGTATTTAGCCCTGAGACCAACTGACACAGCCCAACTCCGCTCGTACCCTTCGAAGGCGAAATTCGAGCGGAAGAGAGCGGGGGGTAAATACATGTAAGAACCGCAAAATTCTCTGATTTTTTCTACTTCTTGCTACTTTTAAGAAGCTTCTTCAAAAACTGTCAAAAATCCATGAAACATGACCTCCCTCTACTACCCGCCACAACTCCTTCAACTTCCAAAAGTTGGACTCCCTTTTCCGCACCTCTTGACCTTCACCAATCATGACCTCCCCTCTCCCTCCAAAAAATACGAACCATTGCTGAAAACTGCCCAATGCACGGTTGACCTTGCTCCCCTTTATCCCCCCGCTACCTGCGACTGCCGTTCTTCCAACAACTAAATGTAGTGGATTGAGAAGCGAGTTATTATCTGAGTGAATAAGTTAGGATCTTTCAGGATGTCGGATCCGCCAGTGGAATCCTTATTAATGGGGTTAATGCTGCACATGAGAGTGTGTTTCAAGTTTTGTTTTGTCTCTTTGACTCACCCTTTAAGGACACATCCTTGTGATGTACTAGCAAATAAAAAATAACTTAATTGCAAATCGATTTTTTCTTGATAAAAAGTTCACTCAGAGAAATCTTCGTTGGGGAATTTTTTAAAATCACCTTCTTTTAGAGAATTCAATTTCCTTCTAACTGACCTAAGCGTGCCACTGCCGATGAGGTCGTTCAGTCCGTCAAGCCACATTGTCAGCACTCGATCAGAGAATGTCGCTCCACAGATTGAGTCACCGTCATGTAGTACAACACGAATACAACGCATCGCTTGTGCTCCGCTCTTACGTCCTGTCACATCTTCGCCACGATCCACCGAGGCAATATCCTTGGCTGCCACTAAAATAATTTCATTTCATAGAAATTTGCTCATCGATGACATTTTTCTTCTTTCCTTTCACTGAAACTATCAATTTTCATCTCTTCGACAGAAGGAAGCAGCTGAACCAGTGGGAAGTAGCGCCGTTACCGTACCCATGGTGAGCGGATCAAATGTCTGATCGAACTCGCCCACAACCTAACTCCCGACCCTCAGCGAAAGAAA